ATGTTGTTTGTTTTAAGTCAAGCACAAAGCTTCACGATGGGCTATCTTTGCTCTGGCCACCATGGGTACTGAAATCTGGTTGCTAGCATTGCAAGTCCGTAGACATTCCGCTGTGCCACGGATCTATCTATCAAAAGCGATAATTTTGAAAATTTGCATTAACGAAGTTCACAATGTATGAATCGTGAACGACATCCATACACGAAGAAAGGCCCCAATTTGCAAAATTCAGCATTAATATTTGTAACTGAAGAGTAACATGTCATGAAAGAGTTAAACACTTCTTGTTAATTCTTTGCAAACTTCCACTTTTCAGTTATGTTTGTGTATGTGACCATGATCAGTCTTCAATAAATAGAGTGACATCTGGCGAGTAGAAGCGCAAGGCGTGATAATGTTATGCATCACTTCAACACATGTACACAAACGGATTTAAATAAACATCTTTTGAATATTTGTAAACTGCGGACACGTAGATACGAACGGCAAGTTATTGTATGAATAACATGATTTATTTATCAACTTGCAGCTATTTAAAGTAGGTAATTAACGATCTCTTGCCTTGTGCAGCCACAGTTATATAAATAATTATGTTTTACAGTTTTACTTTTTAACTAGATACTTACACTTTTGTGACACATCCTCACAAGGAAGCGGGGTATACAGTCACTCTATTCCCTCTATAAATGCTGAAGGCTGCATGTACAATGGGGTATAATTTTGCAAGGAATATTTTTGGAGCAACAGGGAATAATTTTCACCCGAGTAAAAAATAAAGGGTGTTTTTACAGTTGTTTTTCCATGAAAATATTCAAAAAATCAGCCCTTTTTTAGAGCCAGACTGGTAACAGTAATTTTTACATATGGGAAATTTAGTCGATGTCTTACTAAAAATTTATGACATTTGTACATTGCTCTGTATATTTAGGTTTGTTCTCACTCGAGATATAAAAATACTGCATATGGAACGTGTTCTGTACAAAAGGATAGGAATTTTTAAAGTTTTCCCCTCTACTATCGAGTACGAGTTTTAAAGCGTAAGTCATACACCCCTGCCAGAAAAATATTTCAGACCTACACCCCTTCCCGGTCTGACACGTATTTGTGATAGTTGCAAAAAGCTTGTTTCAAATGCCTGTATGTCTTCTTTTCACGATTTAATAGGCTTAAAATTTCAGAGACTTTCGACTCCCTGGATCCTGTTGGCCCCCAAACCACCAGACTGCAACAGTTGAACCCCCTCTCCAAAAAAATTAGAAAAGCACCTGGTTTTAAACTTGGTGACATAGGCGTCGCCAGTATTTTCATAGGGGGAATCGTTTCTGGTTAGTGATTCAGTGGCGTAGATATCGGCGGTTTAAATGGTTCATTGAATCGGTGCCCTGAAGACACAGACTACGGTTCATCTGTTATTTTGTATGCTTCACCGATATCTGTATAACCAATTAAACTGCTACCTGGATATTTTAAGTGATAGCAATACTTTAAACTTTGCATTGTATTTATAGGACATTTACACATTTATGTTTGTACTTTGTCTTTGTAAAGACAAAAGCAAGAAACGTGAATTTCAGTAGTTTTGTATGTTTGTTTAAGCGCAAAGTTATATTATAGGCGACCTACGTTTTGCCCACTGCGGGTATCAAAATCCGATTTTTAGCGTTATAAGTTTAAGCATACCGATGAGCCACCGGGAGGGAGTAACTTCTATAAACGTTACTCAATATTTAAACATTTTTTTTTAACAAAATAAAAAGTTACTTTTTTTGTAGACTTCACATAACATTTGGAAATTTTTCAGTTTTTCGGAATTATGATGTGTTCTGTTCTCAATTAATAAACACTAGTATTTTCATGCCATGACTTTATATATTTAGAAGTAAAACACATTATTTATGAAGGCCTCACAAGTACCCTGAACCCGGGCCTCGTCTGCCCTAGTTACGGCACTGTTTCTGGTCGTCTTTCTTAGATATAGCACGTATAAAACACGTAGTGCTGCACGTGTATGACGAAAACTCGACGAACGAGGTATGTTGAAATAAATATTCATGCAAGTTTTGAAAATAAACTGGATGCTATCTACTCACTACTAAATTATAGTTTATGTGTGCGTCATAGTTATACGTATTCAAATACTGTTTTATTACTTATTTTGCACCTTATTATACAAGGTTGAAAGACTATCATAATGACATTTGAATCCTCCAGTTAATTAAACACCTTATCTTACTGTATTGAGCTGCCTAAGAATATGTAGGTGTGAACAAAGAGTCACAGCCTGCTGAAGCATATTTAGTTACTGCCAGCGTAATTGAAAATATGAATAATTTATCCCGCCAGAAAGTGATTTATTGTATGGCGTTTGCCTAGTCAGTACCGTGCAGATCGGTATGACACTTGCCAAATGCTGCTATTCACATTGTGTTGAGAAACAGAACAACTGGCTGTTCAGTACGTTTGAATATTTTATGGTCGTGCTTCGAATATTGGTTTCGTTGTTAACCTTCAAGTAGATGGCGGCTCATGAAATTAACGATTATTTGTGATCCAAAGAGTTTCTTTTAAACCCCACAACCCGTCTGGATAATAGAAAGATCTCACGTGAACATATTCTTTGAATAAAAAAGTGTAGCCTTAATTATCGACGTGATAGTCAAACATTGGCAGTTGGTGCTTTATCAACAAGGATACAAGTAAAGCACTAAATTTAAGTTCCTTCACTCTCGCAACCTCGGCTGTTTAGGTTATTTAATTTTTAAAACAATGTTGTTTTATAGTTTGCGAATTAAAGAATTTCATGATATACGCATATTTCGTTTACACTTAGTTATATGTAGATTAGACCAGTGTTTATCAGCCGGATTTGCCAGACGACCCTTGCGTCCGGGCCACATTATCTCTACAAGGATGAAAAAATTATTTATTTTTTGTAGCGCAGTTCGTCATTATTCATAACAAAGGTGATATATGCCCATCTCAGAAACCTCGAGGACAAAAACAAATAAAAAAAATTTTGATTCAACGCAAACAGTTCGTGACCTCTTGGAAACCCACCGTTTGAGAAACACTGGATAAGACTTTTATATTATTGAATATATCGGAAAAAGACAATGAGGTACCATTATGGCCAGGCTCCAAATGTAATCAATAACATATCTTTGATTCACGACTTTTATCGCAGTGTTACACATGTTGTGGAAGTGTATGTAAATACTGGAATGATTCCACTGAAGCCAACTTTTTCAGTTTGTTTGAAGTTAAGCACAAAGCCACACCATGAATATCGAAACCCCGGTTTCTAGCGTTGTAAGTCCAAAGACTTACCGCTGTGCCACTAGGGGCAACTTTTTCAGGTATATATTTTGGTAATGACACGTTAATTGAATTCCAGAAGCATCTAAATTTGATCAGCCCTAATATATAATTCACTTTAGAAGTTGAAGATGATGGTTGTTTAAAATTTTGAGATGTTTCTGTAAAAAGAGAGAAGGTGTTTCTGTATACAAGAAACCATTCTCAGTTGCCATACCGCCGCAAGCGAGATCGTATCATCCGTGGTCACAAAAAATGTCCCCACTTTCGTCTTTTGTTTATAGGGCTATCAATATTTCGTCATATGATGAGAATTTGATGCTAGAATTAATGTATTTAAAACAGGTAGCGATTGATAGAGGGTATCAACCTCAAATCATAGATGGGATGTACCGTAAATGTTATAACAAACTTCGAATTTCTGGATGTACGAAATTGGAAATAACAAAAAAGGAAAATAGAGAAAGAATATGTTTGCTTCATGTTTTGCCATGATCAATAAAAATAGGTAATCTATTTAGGCAAAACTTGAATTGCCAAGTAACATTTACTCCTCAATTAAAATGAAGTCATATAATTTAATTAATGGTTTGAAAGACAAAATTTGAAATGAGGGATTAATATGGTATATACAAAGTTTCATGTACTTGTGGTATAAGTTACATTGGACAGACAAGTAGGAGCCTAAAATTTAGAGTAAAAGAACATCAAAATGCTGTGGATAAATTAAGAACGGGTGAATCGGCTTTTGCGGACCATGTGGCGAATTTTAAACACATTATTGATTGGAATAATGTAAAAATTCTTAAACAGTAAACGGATAAAGATGAATTAAATATAAGAGAATCTTAAGAAATTGTTAAAAACAAAATAAATTTAAATAGAGATTTAGACCTAGGAGCCACCCAAATAAATTTTTGCAAATTATTGTTGTAAATGGCACTATTGTACTTGTATGCTAATTATACACGTACTTTAGTTTTATAAGCAGTGTTATGTGTACTTCTTGATGGATTCTCCTGAAGATGGGGTAATTATTTACACCGAAACATGTAGAGTTTTAAGTTTCTTTTAACTTGAATATTTTTTAATTTTTGTGCAAGTAATAGACGCTGATTTTCATTTCATTATTCTATTTAATATATTCTAACTACAGAAGTTTCATACATTCTGTTTTAAAGAAAATTTAATTTTTCTGTTAGTTTATCGACCTTTTAAAATAACAAGTACAAAACTGGCGTACCATCTAAAACTTGATAAAATCAAAAATTATCTCAAGAGCCGTTTTCCTAAAAACTATTAGCAAAATTATGGAAAAATATCTATGAAAAGTAAACACCACCAATCCCTAGTGTTTGATGTACATAAATTACCTCTAACAATAGTCTTACAGTTTGTTTGTTCTTTAACTTTCAAATAAAGAACTGAATATTTTAAATTATTCATATCCACAATTTCACGTAGAGTCATTTTAAAACCCTAATCACGTATTGAAAGTTTTTTTTCAAGGTGAAAGATTCCAACACTGGCGGTCGTACCTTGTTTACAAATTTACATATACCTGTTCTAAATAGGTTTATATTTGGTTCCACGGTTCGCCATCTAGCGGTTTGAATCAAAGAACATCTCAAACTGAGTGAAGGAAATTATTACAATATTTGCATAGGCTTTAACAACGTGTGAAACAAGACACATTACGATAAAGGCCTAAGCGTACTCTTCTGAGAAGAGAACGAAAAACATTTGAATCAAAGAGATTTCACTGATTAGACATTTGGAGCCAGGCCTTAATGATAACTCTTAATTTTTTATATCACGGAGTATAATGACGTGTATTTTGGATTATTTTATATTTTTGAGTGTGAAATATTGTTAATAGTTCTATATTTCATGTTATTTATAATACGTAAAAGGACTCGCTTTGGATTATGTAATCTTTCGTAAATTACCTAAACTGTAAATACCTTTTAGCTCCAGCTAGTTTTATAAGTAAATAGTTTTTTGTTTTGTTTTTTGTGGAATATTTCAAAGACATTTAAAAAAAAATCGTATATTCACAAATAATGAGCTGGAAAATGATTTACTAAAAGTGGTGTAAAATAATTATTTTAATGAAAATTAATAGTTTGATTTGTGTAAAAAGAATTTGAAAAATTGGTGGACTCAAAAACACACTATGGTGTTTTTAATATTTGTAAAAGTAATGATTTATTTTTTATTACTATTTTACTAGTGGCACCATGAATCAAAAAATATCTCTAATTCAGCAGTACACATGTTGACTCAAAACAACCCTGTTTATTATGCAAACTTCAACACTACCCTAGATGCTTTGTTAGTTCCTAGAGTTCCAGGAACTCCAGGTCATGAGGAAGTAAAGAAGGTAAGTAGATAATTTGCTCCAGCTTTTAAAATGTAAGGTTAATGAATGCATAAAAACGTTTACAAATAACTGGATCCTGGCTTTTGAATTTGTCGGTCAAAAGAAAAAAAAAAAAAGAGTGAAAAACTGTAAAGCAGCATTACTGCATTAGTATCATGGATTCTTTTTGTACTGTACACCATAAAAAAGTTTTAGAGTACATTCTGAAATAGAAAAAAAAAGACATTCAAACTGTAAGTGGTCTTTTTTTTTGGCCACCCTTTCCTTGCCTATATATGAAATTTTTTTCTGAAAGATGAATTTGGTAAGTTAAACCAATTTTGTGCTAAAGGTTGACAATCACTTTGAGACCATTCAATAAAATTTTGGTTATCATTTTGCTAAATACATAATATGTAATAATTGATAACCTATATCTCTTATAAAAAATCAATTGCTTAATATCTGATGAGATTGGTCAAAATTAGCTAAAAACAGTTAAATAAAGTTTTTAATACATTTTGTTTCTATTCGTTGTGGAACAGAATCTATGTCTACATTATGAAACTTTAGCTTTCTGGTGTTTTGATTGAGAGTATTTACTAAAACATAATAAGACTTAGTTTTTTGCCTTATGTGCAGAAGGCCTTCAAAGACAAAAAATATTGTTTGTTACTTCTTCTTTTAAGCATGTGCCAATTATTGAATAGTTCTCTTTATAAAACTAAATCTTTGAATTTTACTTTAATAATATTCTAAACTTATACTGTTGTACACTGTTTTTGATATTTTAATTTATGTTTTGTTTGTTAGAATGAGTTTTTAGCATAAGATAGTGATGATGTATGATCTCTAGAAATTTACTGAATGTCTAAATCTGATGTGATATATGAGATTTTGGGAAGTATTGGAAAAAACATATGTAAAAACAGGAATGAGTTTGTCAGACAGAGCATTAATTAGCTTCATAATTAAGTTACCCTTGAAATTTCAACTGTACCTCTATACATCTCTTTCTTTTTTTTAATAATCATTATTATGAAAGGTAAAATATAAACACGATTCTGTTTTTATTTAGATTATTTAGTGGTATGTTTTTCTTTACATCATTTTTTTTGGTAGTTTATCATTGAGACCATGAATTCTCTAGACTGGGATGTTGAAGAAGACAACTTTATTGCACCAACTCCCTTTGGTAAAAAAGGTTTTTCAAACATTATGAGTACACTTGATCCCAGTGCTTGTGAGAAGTTAGTGCTTGCTTGCCATTATGACTCTAAGTACAGTAGAGAGAACACATTTGTAGGGGCCACTGATTCAGCAGTTCCTTGTACAATGATGATTCATTTGGCTCATGTCCTTGATAAGCAGTTAAAACAACAAAGAAAAAAGGTTGGTTGTTATTTTCTATCTTTTATTATTAAATATATTTAGATATTAGTGTGAGAAACTTATTGATTATTGGTTTTTGTATTTATTATCTATGTTCAGAAAAGTTTGATAATTACATGGTTATACACATTCTACAGGAAGTTAAAATCGGATGCAATATACATGGCTCTCAAGTACATCAGAAAATTTTCATTTATTATTATTATGTGAGATTGAACTCACAATGAATGCTACTTTCAAGAATTCCAGAATATTTTTCCTTTAATTTTATTGTGCAAATAAATTTGTCAATGAATGCTACTTTCAAGAATGAATACCATAACATTTTCTTTTTTATTGTTAAACTATACAATGAATAGTCTCTTCTCAATAATTCTTGAACCAAGTATTTGATGTTAATAATAATTACAATTAATTATATTTTTGTGTTTCTTTTTATTAGAATAAAGACCTGACTCTTCAGTTTATTTTCTTTGATGGAGAGGAGGCTTTGAAACAGTGGAGTAAATCTGACTCTCTGTATGGCTCCCGACATCTTGCTGAGTTGTTAAACCATCAGCCATTTCCTGATGAATATCAACATTGTAATACAGATTATGCCACACACCTTGACAGAATGGTAAGTGTTTAAGATGTCTTTCTATGCTTTTATAATATAACAAGTTGGATGTGTGGTATTCTTAGTTTGCCTTGATTTCCCATAAAGTAGTCTGTGGAACTACAAAAAAACCACAAGCACTTGATAAAGAGTTAAACTGTGCTTGTTTACAACTCTGTTTGCAGTCTCCCTCTTGTGTGTAAAGGCTCATTCAAATACAGAAGAAATACAGACACTGCTCTGTAATACAGTATCTGATGAATCCTCTCACAACTGGAGAAAGAGAGTGAGCTTTATTTACACTGTCTCTCACCAGTGTAACTCTAGCTCTGTTATGCTAAAGTCTAAGTTATGATATATTCGATTTATAAGTCTGAAGAAAAGCATATCTTAAAGATGTATACAATACAATCTATATGGCAATCTATCTCAAAAGGCAATCTCTCTTGGGAGTTTAGCAAAAAAAAAAAAACAGCCCATTATATTTAAACAAATAAAAACATGATATATCTAAAGTTCTCTCTCCCCAGGTGCGTGCACCATCCATGTCATTGAAGGCCACTCTCATGTTAACAGAGATTGTCATACCCCTAGGTAATCATGTGGTATATTAAAACGTATTTGTATTAAAAGAGAAAACTGTGTGCATCAATCTTGTTGGCAAATGTCATAAATTGTCTATATATCAGCATATATTTAAACACTAAATCCAAAGTACAATTTAACTACTAAACTTAAATGATCAGTTAACTCAATTTCAGACCATTTCAAATTCTAATACATAACACAGGAAATAAAAAAAACGACTGATGTTCCATACTAAGAGTAAACTATGGAACATAATGAAAACATGAAAAATTGTCTAGTAGCTAAAGGAGTAGAAAATGCATGATATGCTTACCTATCAGAGATACATACTGTTGGTTATTAGAGATCTTGGACAGAAATTCTACAGAAGAGTGTTAAGTCTTGTGTATTGTGTCACTTCAGTAAGCACACCTAAACGAGGAATATAATGCAACTGTAAAGGTTAAGAAGTAAAAGGAATTGAAAATAGTTGTATTGCTTCCATGCTTTAACTTAAAATGTAATTTTATTTAATTTTGATAATAAGTACTTGATGTAAGGTCAAACTTATTACAAGCTGAGGTAAAACAAACCTGTTTTGAGTTTTGTGTCCTAATAAGAGAGCTGCTATAACTTAAGTTTTTTTGTTGTTTTTTTAGCATGTCTTAGTGCTATTGGATCTTCTGGGAGCAGAAAACCCACGCTTCTACAGCTACTTTGAAGACACTTATAGTTTGTACAAGCAGCTAGTCAACATTGGTGAGTGTATCAGGAAGTATTCATATATAAATAACTATACTATTGATCAAATTACTCACCCATTAGTATAATTATATGGTAACTTGCAAGCAGGGGGGTTAGTGCTGCTGGAGTATACCAGAGCATTTCTCTGGCATCTGGAATTGGAGCTTCTGAAACTAGAAATATTTATGTAAGAAAAAAAGGTATTCAGTTTACTCCTAAAATTAAGTTTTTCATAACCAAATTTTCAGAGAGTTGCAGAACACTGACTGTTTGTGATCCCCATCTTCACTGTTAGAGCTTTTTTAGACTTCCCAGCACACACTGTCGCTCTTCTTCAAGAGTTAGCATCAGGCACCATATGACTGGTTTAGATCAAGAGCAGGTGGTGGAGTGTTAAATTGGTGAAATATTTTTTTGTTATATATCATATGCTAATTAAGACACAAATATGATTAAAAACTGTAAAACACATTTTACAATTATACTGTGTTTAAAATGTACACATTTTTAAAAGGCTTATTATTTACATAATATAAAACACAAGTCACTTAATTATTATTTATGTTGGTAGAATGGAGGTGTGTGAAGCATTATAAAAGTCAGAGTTATCAATGCTGTTTGAAGACTATTGCTGCTAAAACTGAAATTGAAGGGGACAAAGTATTGTATATATGAAATCCAGTTTTTTGTTATTTTATTTCCTTGCTGATTAATTTAAAAGAAATTGAGTTGTGTGTTTTCTCTCATTAATATATGCAATTTCAGTTTCTCACTAATGTAAGTTGTCTCAAATAATTAGTGCAGCATATATTTATTTTAACTAGAATGGTATCACAAAAATGGTAAATAGGTTTTGAATATGAGATCTTTTTCCTAATGGTGACATCACATGTCAGATACATTTTGGCAGGGATTTGGCACTATAAAATTTAGCACAACACCCCTGCTTGTAAGTAAGGTCCTGTAAGAGTATTGACAACCTCTTAAGATATCTAATTCTCAGCTAACTAGCTCTTGGTAATCAAGATGGGTAAAATGTTTCCAAAAGATCTGAATCTTAAAAATTCACTCAGTTGAGAATTGTTTCATTAAGCCGGAGATTTTGGTTCAAATTCGTGTTGAGACAAACAAATTTTAGTTAAGCTGGAACAAAGGTAATTGCTAATGTTATATAACACATGTAGTTAGTCTTGTAACATTTGCCCATTGGTAGAAATGCATGTATACAGATTTTATGACAGTTGTTCATTACATAAGAACAAAAATGATATCCCCTTGGTAAAGATTAGCACTGTCTTCTGTAACTAATAGTAATCTCTTTAACGAATGGTTTGAATTATTTTCCAATTACCATTTTCTTTGTCCAAAAAAAAGAATAAAAAAAGAAGAGTAATGCCCATAAAAGATATTATGCTGATAATACTACTGATGTGGTCAGGTCTTAACTCATTATTTTTTTGTGATGTTTAATATATGTTTGAATTTGAAATTTCACAAATCTAAAGCACAGTTGGGCGATTTAATCAATTAATCAATATAATGAATTACCTAAAGCAGTGAGTACATCAATTAGTGTCACATAATTTAATCAATTAATACAAATTTTGATTGAATTGATTAAACAAAATTAGTATTTCCAATGATTCCAAGAGTTGATTAATTGAAATTCTGCTTATATCAATTGTTATGTAACCAACTAATCAAAATTACATTTAAATTGATTGTCATAAAAATTATCAAGTAATTGAAATTAGGTTTTTTTATAACCCTAACTAAGTAATACAAATATTGCCACCAGACTTGCTTTCCTTGTTTTTCTTATGGCAAAGCTACTAAGGATATCTTGAACTGCTGGCTAGAGGGAAGGCAACATTGTGGCAGTACCTGCCATCAACCTTTTTTGTTGTTGTTGAACTGTTGACTAGAGGGAAGGCAAGTGGCTAGTAGCATCCATTGCCAACTTTTTTTTTCTTTGTACATACAGTGGTTTGAGGAACACTACTAATTGTTTAATCAAATATAACTGATCAATAGGGCTATCAATTAATTGATTAGTAAATAATATTAATCACCCAGCTCTAATCTAAACAATGTTCTGTTTAAAATGCTACTGATGTGTTAGGAATAAGTTTAATATTTGTTAGATACTCAATAGCTTGTTTTAACTTCAAGACAGAAACTTGTACAGGCCTAACAATTACATGCTGAAATTTAAAAACATTTTAGCATTTAAGCTAGGGCAAACTGCTGTAGTACTTTAATCTGTCAACAATTGTATCTTTATGTGCTTAAGTTAATTTGTTTATAAGAGTGGCATCCATTTTCTGCCTTCCTGTGTACCCTTTTCCTGTAAAATCTGTATAAGATTCCATATTACATGTATGAACAGATATTTATCCCGATGAGCCTTGGTAAGTATCTGATAAGTTTTTAAAATTGATTAACTGCCAACTACATGAGTTTGGAACATACTGTTATGTTTTCAAAATCAAAGCTCCAAACCTTGTAGTCAAGTCTTTGTTGTTGAGGCTTCCTGAGGTTGAATCATTTTATCAGATCTTCAAAATCCAGGTAGTTACAGCACATTTAAATTTCAACTTTTAATTGTTGTTTAGTGTTTACAACGTTTGTGAAAACTTGCTTGTATAGTAGACTGATTTGTGACATTTTCACTGCTTGTGTGATTGACTTACCTGTAATAGTTACAAAATAAGCGAAGCATTCTATTAGCTATTGTTTTTTTTTTAATAAAGTTGTTAAATGTTTTCTTCTGTATTTGTTCCCTAACAAAATTAGCTTTTTTTCCTTATCAACTTGTGTGGTTGGTATTACTGGGTATAAGTACACAATGGCGAACTTTGCTTTTATTTTCACCTTTTAGACAATTTTTTTCCCAAAGGAAGGAAACTAGGTCACTCAAGAAATGTATTTTATAATTTTCCTTTGTTCTTGGATGTGTTTTTCAGCTATATTGTCTGAATATTGAAATTCTGTCTTCAGTTTTAAAGTAGAGTTTGAAAATTAGTGGTATTTTAAAATACATTCAATTAATTGATTAAATACATGCACCACTTATCATCAACGAACTTATTTTTTGTTCATTAGTTTTGGATGCACGAGTACACTATGAATTTTTTTTATTGTAATTTTCCTATTGCTACTAAACTTGCTCGCCGTCTTTGTTATTGCAAAACTACTAAGGCTACATGCCACACACCCCAGTGGTTCAGTGGTAAATCTGAATATTAATAATGCTAAAAACTGGATATCAATATCTGTTATGGGAATAGTATAGATAGCCCATAGTGTAGCTTTGTGCTTACCTTTTGTGTCTTTCTATTGTTGCTTTCTGCCACTATCGCAGATTTTGAACTGTTGACTAGTGGGAAGGCAACTGGCTAGTAGCACCCACTGTCAACTCTTGGCTACATACATGATAAACATTGTGTGAATTCTGTGTCGTTTTTTTTACATTTTGTTATGTTTGTAATTTATATTGTTGTATAAGCAGGCATGGATCTAGGGAACTGAACCCACCTCCACTCATTTTTTTCAGAAATTAATAACTTCATTATTTAATTTTGTATAAGTAGGTACAGAAATTAATAAAACAGCTGGGCTTCCTTACACTAATGTACAGTATCAAAAAGAAACATTAGATGCTAGTGTTTTTATTTAATGGGCTATTAATTACATAAGCTTTTTTTTTGAGGATATCTGAAATCAACACAACTGGAGTTTACTACAATTAAATTAAGGCCTCTGCTAATATCTAACTATTTCTAAGCTAATACAATTATACGAACTTCAATTATACATTGCCACAGAATCTAAGACAACTGCCAGTCAAAAGGTTTGAGTAATCCAGATCTTTAGACCTGGATTAATCAGGTCAAGTAATATGTAACATATATGTTATTATACATAATATTGTTACGTCTCCGTTTGTTAGTTAATTTTCCGTAAATTTGTTCCAACGAAACTTTAGCGACACAAGTCCTTTCTTAAATAAACTGGTTTATTCTTTCCGAATACAACTTTACCGATACACTTAATTTTAACAGTCACTATATAATCAAACGCTATAACTCGTGTCTCATGTGGCCAACAATATTTGTTGTCCCATCATGTTGTGAATGTCTTGTATATATACAAGACTACACTATATCTAGAAGGATCACGAGATTTAAGGAAAGGACGTGAAAGTTCGAGAATTACGTAGCGTGATACTAGTCACGTGACCTCGATGTCGTAACACTGCCCCTTCCTTAGTAATGTTCGTCCTGAACAATAGCTACTTACATTAAACCAATAACAATTAACAATAACTTAATTAAATGTACAGAATTACAAACACAAAATTACAATTCAACAAAGTCTCTTAATTTTACGGGACGTATCTTCTACCGTACTGGTCTCCGTCTCGTTGGCTTCTGCTTCATATGGGGTTATCTGCTTCATCAGGAAATGTCCTATCATCGGTAAGAGTCACATCAGTGGTAGTAACTTCGTAAAGAGCTTCACTGTTTCCCTTCTCAAAACTGAATAGTTTCTTCTTCAACAGTGGCTTTTTCAGGTGAAACTTCTTCAGCAGCATCATTTGTTCCTTTGTTCACTTCGTCCCAACTGAAATGTCCTGGACCGTGATAACGCCAAAGCCTGTTGGCATGCACCACTTTTGGCTTACCCCGCCAACCACATTTTATCCGGAAAGTCACGTCTGAGAGACGATCCACTATGTCATATTGGCCTTCCCATGGAGAAGACAACTTAGGAGACTTCCCTTTGGTCTTCCTG